TAAGTCAAAAGGGCCTCCAAGTATGGCAGCCGGAGGATGGTTTTTGGAATGCATCTTTCGGGCTTTGCAGCCAACTTCCTGAGCCCCTTGGCTTGGACCATCGACGACTCTTACCTTCCTCATCTGCCGCTGCTCTGGCTTCTCGGTTGCCTCTCTTTTCAGGGCCTCTCTCAGACGGCTCTTAGGCGGTTATCAGATTTTTTGTTTCAAGGTGTTTGGGCTTTTAAGGTTTTAGGGTCTTTGGTCATTATGGTTTGAGGGTTTGAGAGTAGGGAGAATGCAGAAACAGAAACGCAAGATGGCCTCGTGAGGCTGATCGGTACAGTGGACACTGTCATTGCCGTGGCCGTGCGCGGGTGGCCTGCCAAGTCATCCAATCAGGGTTCGTTTCATAGTTCTACAAGGTTGGTTAAAAGGAGTACTATACGGTTATACTTCAGGAGTCGAAAAACACCACCAGCTCTATCTCTCAGGGTTCCTTATGTAAAGTATAGTATACTATACCCAAAGACCCAGTTCTAGTTATCGAGGCCCCAAGATTACTTTCAACCGGTTTGACCTGGAGAGTTCGATGCGGAGTCAACTGAGGCCCCTTCTTCTCTACAGCATCGTGATGATGAAGCGTCTCTGGTGCCTCGGCTGCTGAGCTCTGCTTGTTTTACCCTAAACCCTAAACCCTAAACCTATAAGCCCTAAACCCTAAACCCTAAACCTTAAACCTATAAGCCCTAAACCCTACACCGTAAACCCTAAACCTTAAAGCTATAAACCCTAAACCCTACACCCTTAACCCTAAACCCTGCAATGTTTTTGCAGTTCTGGGCCAGGCTCGAGCGAGGTGTGTTCGGTAGTTGCCGTTTCCATCTGCCGTGTTCACCATGAGCTTCCAGACCTTCAGGATGTGGATACCGTAAGGGCCTACATAATTAGAGACTAGTTTTGGGGGGCTCCTTGTTATAGTTACAGCAATATGGGTCCCAAGACCCTATTCTAATTATTATGGCCCCTACATTAACACCCTAAACCCCAAACCTTTTGAACCCTAAACCGTAAACCTTCTAAGGTTTTAGACTCAAAACCCTAAGCCGCAAACCCTAAACCATGTCACTTGCTAGCCCTGCGCCCTAGACCCCGGAGACCCACATTCGTAGACTTGAGCTAGCAAGATCTTACAGACCAGTCCCCTTGCCGAACTCATTCCCAGAGACTCCAGACCACCCTTAATTAAGGAATATGCCTCAAATCATATTACCCTAAACCCTAAACCCCCGATTCTTATAACTTAAGATCTATTCCTTCAATTCCCTTCTATATCCGATTAACGAGCCCTTTAAGGTCTGCTCCTTTATTAGGGTGTTTTGGAGTCTCTGGGTTCCATGCAGCGCATCTAAGATCCTCTCCGTTGGATCCCACTGAGGCCCTGTGACGTACTAGTAGTGTAGGGGTTTAGGGTTTTGGGTTTAGTGTTTAGGGTTTAGGGTTCAGAGTTTTGGGCAGGTTTTAAGGTTTAGGGTTTAGGGCTGCTTCTCATCTGAAGTAAAGGTATGGGTTCGCGTTTATGAGCTGCTCCAGGGTCGAGATACTTAGTAGCAGTATATATCATAAACCCCAAAACGTGTTCGACTTTTCGTCAGGGAACCCTAAACCCTAAACCCTAAATAAAAACCCCTAAACCCTAAACCCTGGCGCCTCAGCTCAGAGTCAGCTCAGGTTTCTCGATGGTGCCTGGCTGCTTCTGCTTCTCGGCAGATGAGGCTTCCTTTTCTATCGCGTCCCTAAACCCTAAACCCTAAACCTTGAACCCTAAACCCTAAACCCTAAACCCTAAACCCTAAACCCTAAACCCTAAACCTTAAATCCTAAACCCTAGCAGAGAGCTTTGCCAAGGTTGACGGGCACGGTCGGGACCCTGCTCACTGTACCGGTGCCTCGGTTGCCATGGCTGGGCTAAATCCTAAACTCTAGCACGGTTTAGGGTTTAGGGTTTAGGGTTTAGGGTTTAGGGTTTAGGGCCTAGGGCCTAGGGTTTAGGGTTTAGGTAGGGTTTAGGGTAAACTCTAAACCCTAAACCCTATGGAGCACAGGGAGTTTGCATCAGCTTGTCCGGTCGTCTGGAGGGGAGGTTGGAGTCATTCCCTTGCATGTGTGCCAGAAGCCCTCTTCGTGGGGTTTGATCTAGGGGCCACTATTTTGGGGGCTCCTTATTACAAGTGTAGTATAATGGGCCCTAAACCCTAAACCCTAAACCCTAAACCCTAAACCCTAAACCCTAACCCAAAACCTTATTCCAACTCTTAAGGCCCCTACATTCTGGCCGCACTGTAGCCCTTGGCGCCTCAGAGCAATCGAGAATCCCTCCTGTCCGGTGTCAAGAGGCTTGCCCAGAGACTCCGAAACCCGTTCATTAAGGAATATACCTTAATCTATATTTGGGATCCTGCTATAATTTAGGGTATATTCCGTAATTCTCGTTTAGAATTTGTCAGGGAACCCTTAAAGGTGCACTCCTTCATTAAGGGGCTTTGTCAGTCTCTAGGTGACATGCTAGAAGGTGCTCTCCCAGTCGGCACTGTCAGGTGTTTGGGGTTTAGGGTTTCGGGTTTAGGGTTGAGGTTCTAGGGTTTTAGGGTTTAGGGTTTAGACTGTCAGGTGTGCATCCTACTTCTACTTGGCTCCTTGCGGAGATTCAATGTGATGATGGGCCGGGCGCAGATCAAGGACGACTGAGCAGTTTAGGGTGTAGGGTTTAGGGAGCGCGTGCTCATGGTTTCGCCGCCAAGTTACTCCCAGCCAGTTGGCATTTCAAACCTTGCTGCCGCTGTCGAGTGTACGAAGCCTACCACATAGACAGGTCAAGTGTTTGGGAAAGACGGCAAAATGCCACCTACCCCAAACTTTATGTTATGTTTCACAGTTTTTCGGTGCTTGCGCTGCATGCTGTGCGCGGCTGTATGCGTCAACCCGCATCCTATTTTCGCAGCACTGCCCATTGCAGACTGCTGCATGGAAGAGTCCAACTGACAGTTTCCACTGCTGCAGTTGCCTGTGGTCATCATCAAGTCAAAATGCTGCCGGGCGAGGAATCGCGAAGATTGAATGCAGCAGCAGCCCGTGCCACGGTGATGCTCTGCACCGCATCCTCTGTGCATTCCATGGCTCCAGCTGTGACGTAAGCCAATCGCAGTGTGTCAATCTCATCTTAGTGGCAGCTGCATAGCCAAAGTAGTGGCCTTTCGAAGGCAGCTCAAGGGCAGAGGCCTGAAGTGAGGTCATTCTCTCACCCAAACCCCAGCAACTCACCCCAAAGACATAGAGCATGCTCTTGCGCCATCTGCTGCGGGCGACCATGGATCCAGACGTGGGCCGGTAAATGGCGAAATGCCTGCTCAGGTACGGAGCTCGGCCGACGCCACTAGCATCCGATAATATTTAGACCCGAAGAAATAACGCCCAACACCTTATTCCAAATGATTGGGGCCCTTATTTCAGACCCTCTCCTTTGCCTTACTATAGTATAATACCACCCAGCAGCCAATTCCAAATGATTAGGCTCCCCATTTTCAGACCCTCAGAAGGGCCTTCTCCTTTCCTTTGGAGGTCGATGCGGTGGAAACTGCTCTGGAGAGGGAGCTGCAGCGTCTCGGGGCTGCATGAGGATGCATGCAGTGACAGCAGTGTCGACTCGGTTTCTACACGTGTTCTACGAGGGTTACCAGCAGGGTTACGGTAAGGATTCCTGTAAGGGTTTAGGGTTTAGGGGTTTAGGGGTTTAGGGTTTAGGGTTTGGGGTTTAGGGTTTAGGGGCATTGGGGTAGGAGGGTTACTAGAAGCGTTACTGTAAGGATTGCTACAAGGCTGGGGGTGAGGTGCTTGAGCGGATGGGTGACTACCTGTCGCAATGCTTAGCCGCCCCAACGGCGCAAGGCAAAGTGACTGCCCCGGCCTGAAGCAAACCCTAAACCCTGAAGACCCTAAACCCTAAACCCTAAACCCGAAACCCTAAACCCTAAACCCCAAACCCTGAAGAGACAGCCCCCGGCCGCAAGGCAGAGCAGCTCAGAACGTAGGCCGACCCGGGCTGCACGTGCTTGGAGGGTCATGGGACTTAGCAACTAGGCATAGAAACAAGGTAACTCTACCTATAAGAATCTATAAACCCAATTAAAGTAAAGTTATAACCCCCCTAAACCCTAAACCCTAAACCCCGAACCCCAAAGCCTCAACCCCAAGCCCTAAACCCTCAACC